TTGCATTTCGGGCCATCTCTCTCCATAATCATTTCACAAAAGAAATGAAAGTTGGACGGCTGCTTGTGAAATCTACCCAACGCATAGTAATGGGACCGAATGCCTGAAAGCGCAGCTCACTCTATAGAAGAATCAATCAACGCCAACTGCTGTGGTTTTTTTCCGCTTATAAGGAAAAGCATACCGTCAATGAGTCGTCGCAATCGTGGTAGATGTTCAATTTTGGATCGATCGTCATAATTTCCGAGGTGTGGCCGAAAAGTAGAAACTGTCCCATTGAGTCGGTTGTACCTTCAGCCATGAGATCATCAAGATCTGGTCCTAAATAACAAACAGTAATGTAGTTACTGGCGCGGTAGCGATAATCTGAGGGCTAAATTCGCAAGGTTGTTTCGGCGTCCTTGTCTTAGTTTCAAATGTTTGCGATCAGTTGCACCTCCATGACGGGATAAATAAGACAATACGGAGAATAAAGAAGTTCTCTTTAAACCTAGAATTTATGATGGACAGGTGCTAGAATAATTCGAGAGCTTGACTCAGACTCCTACTACACTTGTGAGAACTCTTTTGTTTTACTCATTCTCGGCAACATTAGCTTTCAAAAGCTCACTCACGATCAAAATTTGTGCTTACTTCGCTCGAAAGCTTGTCGGATCTTAAAGGCAGCGATTACGATAGTTCGGGAAGGGTTTAGAGGAGACGTGGTGGTGCTCAATGGTACGTCAGTGGCGAAAAAAGCGGAGAAATCCGTCAAAAAAACGCAAAATGGGACCCCTTTTTTGGCCGTTGGTTTTCACTCATGAACAGGTGACAGCTCAGAAAGCGGGCGTATGAACGAGTTCAGCGCAACGTTTGGTAACATCATGCCGAATCGTCGCAACTCGTCCAAATCACCAAGTAAACTAGTGGGCGGATCGCTTTTGGGGCGGAGTGCTTTCGAAGTCCTGCTCAGCAACCAGCGCACCTTCGTCGTGAAAGCGCTACACCTCGCTTCCTGGCAGCCAAGTAACTGATTCGTGTGGTGCATATGCTTCCCCGATGCGCTCCCACTTTATCGTAATCGCTGCCTTTAAACGGTCAAGAACCTGCACATCGGACAAATCAAATTTTTAATGCATAGAGCGGTCAGTGATTATTTATATCACGAATATCTCAAGTATTTTTATTTACGTTTATGAGAGCCCTCGCAGACGCTGTGTAAGTGTTGGATGCCCTTTCGCAGGAACGATCCAGCTAAAGGGAGAAGGCAAAAACATTCACATTTCATCGAAAGGTTAGGTAAAAAGAGAATGGATAGCTTCACCTCTATTTCAGACAAATCACAGTCGCTCTAACAAACCCTAACACAATTCATTAGCTCTGGCGCTGTCTTACTCCCCCAAATAGTGTGACCAACATGACTCTGAGGCTTACCGGTGTCATCATCATAAAGCTTCAGTTTCGTGTTTGCCAACGGCCGGTCACCACACATCAACGTTCCTTTCACTCCGGCTGACTGAGTGAAAAGGGTCTGAGCCATAGTGGAACACGAGACGTGAGCAGAATGCTGAGTACGCCCATCTGAAAGAAGAAATTCGGAATACACATAACTGTCATTGAATAGAACCGGCCCAAAGCAGTGATCAATTGTTAGAGCGTGAATGTTATAAAACACAAAGAGGCACCAAAATTTATTCAAAAGAGTCCCAAAAGTTCACAAATGTATTCAAAAAACTCCAAAATTCCAAAAAACACGAAAAGTTTCAAAAGAACTCCTTTGAAATCTTCTGCTATATTTCGGTGTTTAACACCTTCTTCAGGCATGTGTATGCCTCAGCCAAGGATTTAGCTGCCCTTACGGGAGCCGCGCCGTTGGAGTGGAATTAAGTAAAACAATTATTAAATTTCTAAAGTAAATTAGAATAAAGAATAAGACTTAATTCCACTCCAATGGCGCGGCTCCGTAAGGGCAGCTAAATCCTTGGCTGAGGCATACACATGCCTGAAGAAGGTGTTAAACACCGAAATATAGCAGAAGATTTCAAAGGAGTTCTTTTTGAAACTTTCGTGTTTTTTGGAATTTTGGTGAAAACGTTGTGAACTTTTGGGACTCTTTTGAATAAATTTTGGTGCCTCTTTGTGTTTTATAACATTTAAGTCTGAATGAACGGGCTCCGAGCAGCCACAATAACTGTTTCCGATACGTGGTTAGCCTGACTTTTGCCTTTAAGGAAGTGCTCGTACACAGTTCATTTACCATTTTTGGTGAGTTCCGGGTAACTGCTCCGGAAATGGCGTACACTACGGATACGAAAGTCTAGGAGGGATCTAAACTTCCTAAAAGAGTACTATAGAACAGGTGAAGAAAAAGAAGAACAGGCATACAGTATCTTCACGTTTGAAATCAAGACAAATTTGCTTAGAAACGATCCCACGGAGAAGGAGTGCTTTCGTTGCTTTTTCCTTGAGATCGCGCTATAGAAGAGTTCAACGATTTTGCGACCAAGAATTGGATGATTGATCCTGCTAGTGGAAAAAAGGCGACCGTAGCCAGATAGGAGGCCTCAATGCAGGTATCAAGGCATATATAAGGCTAGTAGCAGAGCTCAAATCGTGTTAAATGGCCTAAGTAGAAAGGAAGAACTCCACACACGTGACCTGAGCCCCTGGACGGAGCGCGGTCATTCCACTGCCCAAGTGACTCACTTTTAAGGGAAATGTCAATGAATTATTACTCATCCATAGGTGGGTCACTGGCAGGCAGAACTAGTGACGTATTGGTGACCCGAACAGTAAAATGTGCAGCCGCATCTGTAACCCATTAATGTGGAGGTTTTTTCGAGAAGCAACCTAATGGCAACAGAAGAACGTGTCGCCTATTTGCTGAACAGCACGAATAAGGAAGTTCCAGTAGCTTTGAGCGACCAGACATACCCAGGGAGAACTCGAAGATGACACTGGCCAGATAAAAAATCAATTGGTAAATGAGAGTGATGTTTTCACTTTGGTATAACTGACAATGCGGGTGGTGAACGATGATTGCCCTTACAACCTAAGTACCCACGTAAGAAACGTTCCACGACCGATGATCGTCGTCGTCTCGCGCTGGGTAAACGGAAACGCTACGATGAATCACTGTTGCCATTCTCGCGACCAAAGGTATCGTATGGAGTACGAAGAAAGGAATCGTTAGTCAACGAGTGCTTGTGCCAAATCAAATGACAATTAATCACTCAGCTGAGCCGGTTAGTCACTAAACAACTTGAGAATGATAGGAATAGTTGAACAATGACACTTAATGTTAGCGGTAATGTATCAACCTTCTTCTCTCCAAGGAAATGAGCTATAATTGGAAAGCGCAGACAGAGATAGAGAGTGTGAGATTGTCTAGTGCATGTAGGAATGAGGTTTGCCGACTTCTGTCTGACTGCCCACATCTTGCAAGGGAAACCCTTCAGGTATGGAGCGTATTTCCGAAATAGTTTCTGCATTTTGTATCATGCGGGGAACCAGAACCGATCCTTTCTCCCTGACAGAAAGCCTTAGGATTCAAAACAGTGGTGAAGAAATGGTCCAGAGTTCAATCCCCAGTGATGACTAATTTTTGCAATATAGTTTGGCGCCCCCAGATTGCCGCCAAATGGCGCCATCGTCGAGAATAGATGTCATTGTCGTGTTTTGCGGCAATTTGGAGGCGCCAACATAAATTGCAAAAATTTGTCATCACGGAGGATCGAACTTGGACCATTTCTTCCCGCTGTTTTGACATTCCTGGGGCGTTCAGGAAAAATGGACCATGGTTCTGTGTTCCTCACATGAGCCTCTACAACATTCAGAAAACCATTTTGAAAAACGCTCCATGTCCTGGAAGACCCCCTTGTTAGGCCGCGTCCATCGTGTTCATAAGTCGCGACATCGAGGATTAGGTTAGTGGGCGTCAATGAAGAAGATATGTACTGAAAGGGAGATTGGTGTGGCAGCTTAGGATGTTTCGCTGAAGCAATCGCATATGTTTTGTCTGTGGAGATTGGCAGCTTGTAATATCTGGATATAGGTACGATAGTAGGTAGATCAGGATAGCAGGAGATTAGGAGATTGCGCTTGAATAAGGATTCCACAATAAAAGTCAAGGTCGAAAAGGACAAACTCACTTAGTGGAATGACTGGCAGACCTTCTAAAAGTGCGAAAAACACGGAACTAAAGGTGTCGCAAAATGTGACTTATTCATTATTCAATATTCAATCTACAAAATTCCCAGACAAGTAGGTGGCGATATTCACATTCCTTCTGTAGATTTTTAAACATGGGAGATTGGAGAATCCCAGTTCTCAAATAGATTCTTCAAAGAGAATTATGTTTATAGAAAAGAAATTTCAGGTCCTATAATCATTGTGTTCTCAAAACATAGACTGTCCGGAGAAAATTGTGTTTATAGAAAGATGTTTTAGGTCCTCATCACGTATCCATGCTGTATAAAGCTTCGCCACGTTACCCTCGGGGGCTAGATTACGACGACTACGAATCGGATTCCTATACCGATTCCGTCAATCCCGGTAGATCCCGTTAGTTCTGGCACTCTATTCACTACCCATCATCCCATACTCATCAATAGCTAGGCATCGTGCGAGCCAGCTCTTACAGCTTGACGTTCCCCGCAACGGCACCTCCGTCGCTGATCGTGCTCCAGATAAGCACGACGTCTGCTCTCCGCTAGCCAAAGTCTAGTCAATTCTTTCTACGCAACGTTCGCCGTATTATCTACTGCGCTTATTCAGGTCAAGCCGTGCCCTTGTCAGCGGTCGTACATCTTCAATAGCTTAGTCAGCCACCCACTGGAGCTGAAGAAGACTATTGGTATTCTCTGTGTCGGAACACTACTGTTCGCTAAATAAACGGATTCTATTTATTCTAGCCCAATAATACATCAATACCGCGTGGCAAGTAAACCGAACACTGCGAGCAATCTCCCAGAAAGGGGATGTACCCGCAGCTCTTCCCGCGGCGCTGTCGGCGCGGCACGCCCACCGACTGGTAACCACTCGCCGCAGGCTCTTACAAGGAAAGGCTCTCAGGTCGCCATGGCCATTCAAGAAGAGATGTATACCGCTAGATGTGCCTTTGAACGCTGATCTCAAATCTACCTTCCAAATCTGCTAAACGATTCTCTGAAGGGAGTTATGAAGCAAAACAGCGCAACGGCAGTGGTCGGGATTTGCAGTCAAAACGTCGTAGGATCGGCCCCTGATCGCGTCTACTGTTTTGCCTTCTTCAGTACAGCTAAAAGGCTTTTAATAGCCTATTTAGCCTAATTCCTGAAGAACGCAAGACAGTAAACGCGATCAGGGGCCGATCCTACGACGTTTTGACTGCAAATCCCGACCACTGCCGTTGCGCTGTTTTGCTTCATAACTCCATTCAGAGAATCGTTTAGCAGATTTGGAAGGTAGATTTGAGATCAGCGTTCAAAGGCACATCTAGTATACATCTCTTCTTGAATGGCCATGGCGACCTGAGCCTTTCCTTGTTAGCCTTTTATCGAAGAGAGCGTAAGTGTTGAAGACGCAGCACCGCTGAGAGTCACATCAATGGGAAAATTCAAGGCAAAAAAATGATTCTATTCCTCAGGTTTTGAGCCGTTCCTTCTAGATTTTCCTTCCACTGACCACCTCTAGCTTGATTCTAGTGGGCTGCCTTCTAATCGTAAACCCCGTCTCTGAATGATTAGATTGTACTGATCGATGTTACTGAAGACGCCTATGTACAAGCTGCGTATGAAGGAAAAGTAGACGATCAACGATTTTGAGCAGGATAGACTTTGTGCCAGCTCACGCACATTTTGAGAATTGGCAAGAACGCTATCTTGGATTAGTCACTAGCAAGTTCTGCTCCTATACATCAGATGGAATATCCAGATTGTACAAGTCGGTTTGGTTGTCCTTGAATGAACTTGCTTGGACCATTGGCTGGTGGCTTATTCGGTAACAGGCATGTAAGTCATCGTGTGAGATAGCGTGTTGCGTCCTCTATCTCTCCCCGCCCCTCTCCTCATCTCTGTGAAACTATTACGCTAAATTGTGACAGAAGTAGGTAGAATGCTGTCCGTATTGCTGCTGCGCCAATTTTGTATTCAGAAAAAACAGAAGGTTAGAAGTATATGAAGTTTGAGCTCGTGGACTTGGACGAAGTAGCTCAGACCAGTAAGTAGAGGTTACTGCGAAGTGGTGAATGCCACTTCTCATTTTTCGACTTGATTCCTCACTGTTACGCTTTGTCTTCTTATTTGCTGGTTTTGCATTTCTGACCACTATACTAATACCAGATTAGTCCCCCGTCAACCGCCGGGACCTTCCTTTCCTGCGCAAGCTTTCTATCCTCCGCTATGGTCCCTTCCTCCTGTGACACCAACACCTCGTGGAAGTGACGCGTATGCAACACAATGGTGTTTCATACAGTAGAAGGGACACATCATGATGGTAGATTTTTCGCTTCCCTTCCTCATCCTCCTCTCTCCACTGCCCTCCAGCTGCCACTGCAGCACC